CTCACCCTCTAACTGTCTGCTCTCAATTCTTCAGCTTCTCTGTTGACATGGCTTTCTTTCCATCTGGTTCCTCTTATACAGGGCTGTATCTCAGTTTCAGGTCTACCCCGATTTCCCTTTTTGAAGCATGGCATTCCATTTGTTAGTTTATTTTTAAATCTCTTCTCTAGGATGTGTCTCAATGGATTTGGTAAGAGATACAGAGATTTTAGTGTCTACTCAGTCCATCATTTTGAAATTAGAGGTCACTGCTCAATTAACTGTTTTCTACTAATTAGACTAACAGACGCAAGCATTAGTTTTGTAATATCAACCTACACCCAGTATTAAAACAAACAGAATTCACATCATGTGTACATTTGCACGTCATAAGTGGCCGACTGGCCCAGGATCACCCGTTGCCCATTACCGCGTGGCGTCTGGACTTTGACTGTCCCTTGCATTCAGTTGTTATCTGTTCGGGTCTTAGCACATCCTCACCTGTGGTTGAAAGGGTTCCTGCCCGGGCCCCTGTTTTATAAAGTGGGGAGTGGTAGAGTGTTGGGCTTGGCTCATAATTTTGTTGAGGTTCAAAGTGGACCACAGGCAGCACTGGATTCATCTGTCCGGGCAGTGCGTCTTCTATCACCATCTCCTCATTGTCCCATCGGGAAGCATCCATGAACATGCCATGAACAAGAACGCCATCCTCAGGAGAGGGCAACTGAAAGACACCAGAGGCGTAAAGGTGAGAAGAGGAGGAGGGGATCAGCATTGGGGGATGCCCCCTCTGTCCCCCATCCTCAGTTAATGCTAAGAACCACTCGGGGGCTTGTTACTGCTCACGTTTCAGGGAGGAGCCTACCGAGGCTCCGAAAGGTGAAATAACTTGCTTTTCAGTCTGTTACCACGCCTTGTACTTTAGCACCCCCCCCAGGCTGTGCATACGGGGTACCCCTGGGAGACCCACGGTGGGCTTCAGACTCCGATCGTTACGTTAGGATTTTCCCCTTCACGTGGGAAGGAGATGGGCTGAGAAGGCTGAGATTTTCCTCTGTTATTTTTGGCAAGGTCTCTCAAAGATCTGGGGTCCTTCCAGAAAGGTTGCACATCTGCAAAAGTATTTGCAGAATGCCTGTGGAAAATTTTTTCAAAGAAATTATGCGGGAGAAAGAGAGACAGAGACCCTGCCCCTCGATGTCCTGTGATTAGATGTCACCACTAGTGTACGGTTTCTGCCAAGTTCCGGCTCCTGTGTCACCCTTCCTCAAACACTGAGTGAATCTGGCCGGTCCCAGGGCCTTCGATCTTTGGGTAAGTGGAGCTTCGCAGCCGCAGGCAGAGGACCCAGCACTGCGGACATAAGTAGTGTATTTCATGGTAACTAAAAGGAGTCGCTATAAAAGCTCTTTTTGGTGGGTCTTCACTTTCTGGTGTCCTGGAACTTGCCCTGTGGGTGCAGTGGGGTGGAGCGGCCCTTCCTGGTTTGGGGGCTGCTGTGTACATTTGTGCAGGTTTCCCTGAGTAGGGGCTGGAATCAACCTGCACCCACTTGCCAAGCCACATGTAGGAACCATCTGGACACCCATCCAGAGGGACGCCTTTTCCTAAATGGCACAAAGGTGGCACCAGGTGCACGGCGGCCCTGTTTGTAACAGAACTCAGGTTATCTCGCCGTCTTTGGCTGTGTCTAGCAGCCATTGGCTGGGAGGACCAGGACACGGGCTAACTGTACAACGTGCAGTCTCCACAGATGGCGGAGATTCCAGGGCGTTGCATGGTTCACTGCACGTGACCCCGCGGAGATGTGTGCGGACTGGGGTGGCTGGAGGGACAGAGGCCTCGGTGGTCACTGGAAACTTGTGTCCATTGAGTTGTCTCGATGCTGTCACGTGGCAGGCAGAGCACGCGGGGCACAGAGCAGGGCCAGCACCCAGGGCGGCCTCAGCGAGGTCTGTGTGGGTGTGGGGGTCATCCCACCTCCTCCCGCCTCGGCTGTTCCTGACCCGGGCCTGCGACACCCTCCGGCTGAGAAGGGCCTCAAAATGATGAGTACGTTTCTAAGTTGATTTCCCCCTTACTTTTGGATGCCAATACTTTAGCATAAAAAAATTGATACTAAAACAAATTTCCTTAAAGAGTAAGGTCTCTCATTGTCATTTTAAGATACAGGCAATTCAGAGCATGGGGTGTTAGAGTATTTCGTAGAGGAAGCCATGCATGTGGGATCAGTCTGGTCTTGGTGTGTTTCTGCTAATCAGAGCAAGGAGTGGGTCCATCAGATCTCAGTGGGGTGGGTATGGATACAGTTACCCAGGAGCAAGTCCTGTTCCTATGAAGACCATGATATTTTAAGGAAACTTTAGTAAAAGCCACTCACCCCACCTACGCTCACTGGCTAGTGGACACGCGCTTGACAGAAGCGATCTGGGGCATATCTTTGATTTCATGGCACACTTAGCAAATTATATCTATAAGGCCCACTGGGGCGGACAGGTGCTTTGAAGCAGAGGCTCCTCTGCCCCATCAGTATCTCCGCACATGGAAGGCGGGCAGCTCAGAGTGGCAGCAGCAGGCCCCAGGCCGGGCTGCATACGGGGGTCACCAGGGGATCTTTAAGAAATACTGATGCCTTTGCTGTTCACCTGAAACTAACACAACACTGTAAATCAACTCTACTTCAATAAAAAAAATTAAAAAAAATTAATTAAGAAAATGATGCCTGATGTAATTGGGATGGTTGT